CAGCTTCTCTAGGAGAATGCCGTGGGAAGCAGTGAGACAATGTATATATAACGTAAGAGGAAACTATCATAAGTTTGAGTTTAAGTCTATAGTTATACCAAATTATAAACATAAAGCAAACCACTTAAAAATGCATAAATTGCAATACTTCATTCCCCCAACAGTTAAGACACTTTTTGGTACTATATATAGTATTTTTTCTTACTGAACAAAATTCAGTAACATGTTTTACCAGATATGTAAAGCAGCACTTTTCGTCCAGTTTTATCTATGATAAGTGCAGCCACAGCAGTGAAACATACTTGTATGGAACCCACAACAACAGAAGCCATTCTGCTGTCCTGAAATAAAATAAGAGGTAGGGACAATTTGCTCTTTCAGGCTGATAAGAGGATCACTTATTAAGCATTACAAATGCATTTGTTTCTTGAATGTGAAAGAAGACAAACTATGCCACAGAAATTAATGGTGGGGGAAACAACAGGGGAGGGGAAAAAAAAAAGACAAAAAAAAAAAGCCATCACCAATTAACATAACATACTGGTCTCTTAATAAACTTTAAAATAAGCCACAACTTCTTCCTAGAGTTTCACTTTCTCTGAAACGTTGCATTTGGTAACTCTATTAAAAAAAATTTATATAGGAAGATGACTATAATAGGAAATTCTATCAGTATCAAAGTTTCAGACCAGGAAAACACAACATACTTCCCCCCAAAAAACCCAGAACATTCAGGTGTGCCAGAGTAACACAGTCAAGAGGGTATTTAGAATCCAGACCAAAAAAGCCCACTAAAACCCAAGCCCTGTTATTTATGACACAGGCAGGATCATTATCAAGTCAGTTTGTTACGTGTTTTAGACTTATTACAGCACTGACTAAGCTGAAACTATTATAGACATTTGTCAGTTTGGAAACACACCCCGATTACCTTGAAGTTTGCATCTTCAAAGATAGTTTCTGCATAAAACATAACTGCATTAATGCCTGTTACTTGCTGGAAGAACATTAGAGCCACACCAATAAGAAGTGGCCTGTAGATTGAGGGGTTCTTAAATTCAGAGAGATTCAGTCCCTGTTAAAAAGATTAAGCAATGATTTGGTGAAAAATTTTGTTTTTTAAATCAAAGAACAAAAACAACAACTACAAAAAACCTCCTCAGAACATTTCAATCTGTTCAAACTCAGTAAGTTTCCCACCTCCCCTTTAGCAAAACTAAGTGCCTTAGCAGTAAAAATATTTTCACTTGAAGTATGTGAGAACTCCAGAAAAGCATTTTTCCCCTTTTCTCAGGTTCTAGAGACAGAAATTGACAGTACTTTGTAGAGAAAGTTAACATGAAATCACAGTTTGCAGAAACCAAACTTCAATGATTAGACCTGCCTAATTAAGCACACACCTCACAAGAGGCTAAATGATGCTTTTAGAGATGCAAGAGAAAATGCATTCATACAACACAAACAATAGGAAATTAGCGTTAGAGCTGTTGAACAATCCTACAAAATTGCTAAATAAAGCAAAAAAACAGGTAGCTGTCATATAAGTAATAAGATCACGAGCCCAACTGCTACTTGTGTACAACAATGGCAGACAACGGTGATAGCAGTTGCAGCTGAAAGGTAGAGGAAAAAGATTCAAAGAATTTCACTTGCTTCTTGAGTAGCATTTGAACGAGGAAACGAGGTTTGGACCACTGTTTGTAGAAAAGGCTATTAACTAAGCTTTGGTAAAACCCTTTTAATTATACTACATGCTTTCAGATGTTATCTCCATGCAAAAAGTTTTTAAAAAGTAAATCAGACTGTCATCACCTCTTCCTGAACACTAGCTTCAATCTGCCTACATTCCCATTCATGGTCCACATGTGGTCCCCGCAGAAAGTGCAAAGCAGCTATGGCTTCTGAGCGTTTGTTCCGATTTAGCAGAAATCTTGGTGTTTCAGGCATGAAGGACATGAACAATAGCATTATGCAGGATGGAAAAGTACACAACACTGCCAGCCAGCGCCACTTTAGCGTTATTCCTGGGTAACAAAAAGGAAAGAGGATTATGAACATCAATTAGTTGTACAAACAAATTAACATTTACTTTCAATTCTTCAGTGCAGTTCTTTCATTACACATACTAATTTTTTTTGTAACCTAGAGCCCTAACCCCAATACCTGCAACATAGGCTCCCAGTATGCCAGTCACCACCATCAACTGAACACAAGAGCCAAGCATACCACGGACTTTAGGATGAGATACTTCAGATATATACACCTAAAACACAGGGAGAAAACATCTCATAATTACTCCTATCCAATTTTGGATCAAGGACTTGATAAAAATGGAGTGAGTAGAAAAGTACCATCTCAGAAATGTATATTGGCATTATGAAAAACCCTGGAAAAAAGGAAGGACCTAAGCCAAAACAACATTGATGCAGTATCAATACCCCAAAGGTGAATAAACTTGCATTAGTAAGAGCTTCTTTTGTTAGCCATATTCAACAAGAAACACATCATTGCAAAGCAGTCTAAAGCTTAGAACAGTCTTTGCGTAAACATGTAGCCCAAACCACATATAAAACTGTTTGGAATGAAAGCTTTGAATTTTTAATTCAACATAAAGAGTGCAAATTATTTCATTCTCCATGAAGTTCAAAATTGACAGCTCATCTTAACACAGGTTATATGAACAGCATCACACTTCACCCAGTATTTGGGATCAATTTAAACTTTTCAGCTATTTTTTAATATAATGACCCCAAGTCAACAGCTACAGTTTAGCTGTATACATAAAAAAGAAATCTCTCATACTTATACACACAATTCTTTTTAAAGTCACAGTTCTTACTTTTTCTGGAAGGAAAATAAGTGATTCCTTATTTCATGAATAATTTAGAGCTACAAAAACTTGGTATTACATATGACACTCTCCTCCCTCATCCCTGCAGTCACATAGCTTTTCTACTGTTGGCTGTGGGTTAAGGCCTTTATGTATGGGAACTTAGAGCTCAGCTCCATGAAACGAAGAGAAAGCGGTCATTTGTAAAGCAGACAGAATTCCTCCAAAGACATAAACACAACAGACTAAGCAACCAAGCTTCCAACAACAGAGAAAGCTGCACAAGATTATCATTTAGACCCTACCACCCTGAATCTTTTTTAGATTTTATTTTTATAACCATCTAGATTGATAAAGAATGAGCATTTATGCCGTACTTCATTACAAGTACTTCTTATCCTTTGATTTTTAGTTTGCATCTCACTTCAAAAGCTAGAAATGCTGGAACCACCAGAAAAGAAACAAACTTGAATTCTAAATAGTTTATTTCACACTACTACCTATTGAGCTAGATCCAAAAGGTCAAATAATACCAGAGAAGACAGACAACAACAGAATGAATTACCTCCATTTCCCTACTGCACATATACTCCTGAATGCATGGCAAGAGTTAATATTCAGAAGATAACAGTTAAATGGAATTAGAAGGCACTATTTGGCATTACTCCAGGATGAGTGAGCAGCCATAGTTTACTTGCAAAACCAAGAAGTTTGGTGAAATATAAGACTATTAGAAGCAGCTGGTAAGGGGGGGAGGAGTTGGAGGGGGAGCAGGGAAGCTTCCCCCCCCCAAATGTTATATATGAGGAATTTGAAGAGATAAATATTACTAGACTATAGAAGAACATAAACAAAAGCAATCACATAAAGGACTAATAATCTGAAGGATCACTGTATCAGGAATGCATAGTACAGAAGTGCCACTACAAGAAACAAATTTGTTTTATTTATATTTTCTTCATGATTCAAAACAAGCAAAATATGATTCTATAAAAATCAGTTTCTTCTAAATCCAGAAACTGCCTTGGCTACAGTTATTCAGTTACTTCACAATACTGCCACAGAAAAAGAAACAGAAAACCCACAAACAAACAAAAAAGCAACACATATGCACACACCCCCAGAAAAATGTCTTTCTTACCGGAACAACAAGTGAAGTAATTCCACTGGCTAAGCCTGTCAGCATTCGTCCAAAATAAAGCATCCAAATATTCTGAGCAGATATAATAACTATATATCCAAAACCATATGGTATTGAGCACAGCATTAGACTCAGCTTTCTCCCAACTTTATCCACAAGATAGCCTCCTAGTATTCCTCCAGCAGCAGCTCCTAATGTTACTACTGACTTCAAAAAACAAGTAAAAAAAAATTATTATATATATATAAATAAATATAAAAATAGATAGTAAACAGCAATTTCTTTTAAAATCCTGAAAAGTAAATAGCAGCTTCTAAAAAAAATGTGCAAGAGGATGCAGGTGTTTTGAAAATCAAAATAAACATTAACTTCTTAATCAAAACATAGTCAAGAAGCACTACTCACCACAATTGAGCCACAAGTAATTTTCATATTACATACAAAGTTCTTTCAATGACGGAAAAAAAAGAGCAGTAGCTGTTTCTTAATCTGTCTACAAAGCTTTCCATTCATAAACAGGCCTTTCAAACTGTTTTAAAGCCCTGAAGAATTTGTTATCTTGACTAACCTGAAGTCCAGCCTGTATCCAAAAAGCAAATATTCCCCACGTTGATGGACTGCACTCATCTATTAAGAAGTTTATTTTCTGTGGTCCCTTAACAGGTTCAGTTGAGAAATACGAGTATGGTTAGAAGACATTTTAGCACCAAAATTAAGTTCAAATAATGGGGGCATTTTTTAATATATGCTAACCGAGAGTTATCAGAGCATAACAGCAGCGTTACTCTGTAAAAATTTGAATCAACCACTGAGTTTAGGAAAAACCTGGATTTCATTACTAAGATCTGCATTTACCCTCATTCTTAGGAGAAGTAAGACCCCATCATATAAGAAGCGTCTTCTTGAGCTATGCTTATGCTTTCAAGTGAAATCACATAATGGTAATGCATTATACAGAGACTTACCCCAAACCACGAGGCTTGATTGCTGTCCAATCTTAATTTAGGATCGTTGATTTTCCTCAACTCTGGAATAACAGGTGAGCTATAGCCTAGCACGAAGCCAAAGCTAAGCGGTCCCAGGACAGCAGCGAACGCGGCCAGGTACAGCTTCTTGTTCTGCACTCTGAGGCAGGAGAGGCCGACAAGGATCACGCCGCCCCCACCTCCGGCCCCTCACTAAGGCCGGTAATGCTCGGGCGGGCCTGGCAGAGGGCTCGACCCAGAGCTCGCCTCGGCCGCCCCCCGCTATCGGCCGCGGCAGAGCTCCAGGGCA